AATATTAAAGGTCCGCCATTTTCTTTCTTTATTCCAATATATATTTTTATTATTTAGGCATTCTTATGACATTACAATGTTTTTTTTCTCTCTGTTTTCTAAAAATATTCTTCTTTTCTTCGTTGAGAAAGATTGTACATCCTGCATATGAGATAAAATATCCACTGTTTTTGGAATATCCAATGGGAAAAGAACTTTTCCAACTTTTTTAAAGCGAATTTATTTAAATCCATCACTAAATCTAAATGTTTGTACTTTAAAGCCAAATTTTACCTCATTCCAAATTAAGCCAGTTTTTATTTATTTTTTCAAAGAAAGCAGATATGATCGATTTAAAAGCATGATTTCTATAGTAAATCATATGAGAATGGATCAATAAATACGTAACATAATACAGAGTTATTTGTTGTATTTGGCTCTGAAATTTCAATGTATAATGCTTAGCATGTAGGATCAGTATTAATAATCATTTTTGTATTAAATGCATTGAGAAGAAAGGTTTATTTATTGTGTAAAATAAATGCTTTTTTAGTAACTACGAAATTATTGGCGTAGTCAAGAATAAAAATGAACATGGAGCTACTCTTAGACATGAAGTTCGCTACTCTGCGGGATTATGAACAGTCTCATATCGAACAATAGATGTATGTGTGTGTGTGTGTGTGTGTGTGTGTGTGTGTGTGTGTGTGTGTGTAACAGCAAAATTGTCCAATTGTTAGATTAAGCTTTGAACCGTTGTATCTTAGAAATATTTGAAGGAATTCTTCCTATAATACCGTTATTGGTCTCTACTTATAGAGACATCAGGATGTATAATTACTCTACAAGCTTAGCAGAAGAATCGTGATGAAATCGATCATAAACGAAAATGACATGTTCATCATTAATTAATCATAGCTAAATATTGGAAGCTCATTACGGATGGAAATAAAGTTAATATATATATATATATATATATATATATATATATATATTTGGTTGGATAGATGTGAATCAGACAAACTGACGATCGTTAAAGCGTGAAACCCAGGGTCACAAACTCACATCTATCCAATCAAATATGTTAGCTCTATCTCTGATATTGAGCGCTTTCTAATAAGTACCGCGCATATAATATATAAATAATTATACATATATATATTTATTTATATTTATATACACTTTTTCACACACACACACACACACACACACACACACATATATATATATATTTATGTATGTATTATTCAAGGGTCATTTCCCCAAATTATTCAAGATGATCTTCGCCCCCTCTAATCTTCTAACTTTCTGTCATGGAGTAGCAAGATGTCTTACAGTTTTCAAGTACGTTTTCATTTTCAAGCCTTTTTTCACTGCTCTTTGGATTGTCATAGCTGAAACTTTTCCCTCACGTGTCAAACATCTAATGGATTGAGTTGAATCTTTTCTAATTGATCTCTTTAGTTCTAAGCTGAAATGATGATCCCTCTTGATGTTGTGACATCCTGATCCAGTTTTCCTCTCTACTGTTTCTCTTTTTAAAAATTATTCACCGTTTTCTTGATGGTTCCTGAATGGACATTGATGATGGAAGACAGAGTATGAATGTAGTTACCGTTACTAAAGACTGAATGACTTTTTCCTCTCACCATTGAGAAGACAATGGGACTTATACAAAACGATTTAAACCTGTTCTCTTTCTAGCTGAATAACTCAAAGGGTTTTTCAGTGATTCTTACGACAAATGGTGTCAAGATGGCTAAACGTCTTATTTGAAAACCTGGAAAAACGAAACTCAATTATCTTAGTGTTTTTTTTTTTAGATATTAAACATTTTGTTAGATGGCCGATTATGCTTTATCACGATTTGGACAATTTTGCAGTTACAACCGGTACATCGCATATCGATTGCTGGAGTTCAAATCTAAATTATGTAATGATCGCTCTCTACCCGCCACCTGAAGATTGCATTGTGCATGAAACTCCGAGTCTCTGAATCGTGCTACCGATGAGGGTTAATATATATATATATATATATATATATATATATATATATATATATATATATATATATATAGGAAATAAATAGGTTAAATCCAAATATATTGTTATTTTAACTCAATTATATTTATTGGCCAGAATATTCGAGAAATCATAAAAATATGCACGCCAGAAGACGCATATTTTTCTGACGATTGCGTTTAGCATGAAACAGACTGACGCTTCTGGATGTTGAATTCAATGTCCACTTTTATATTTACATAAGATGTGTCCCTGATATTGAGCACTTTAACCCATAAACATAGAATACATTAAAACTATATCTTTAATCATATATATATATATATATATATATATATATATATATATATATTGAACAATAAAAAATATTAAAAATTAAAAATCTTCATACACACTGGGTTGTAGATTAATATTCTTTCGTTTTCATTATTATTATTTCATTTAGATTCCTCGACTCGTTTCGGCCAAAATGGCCATCATCAGGAGAAGAAATATTTCTGTTTGCTGGTAGCAGTGAACTACGGAAACAAATGTCTTGATGGAGAAAATGAACTTTTGTCTGTAGTTTTCTTTTTTTTAATTTTTTTTATCTTTTTAACATGAAACCTTTAACATTCCTTGTGTTAGTCAAACAGTCTCTTTTAAGTTGTTGAGATAAGAGCTGGATGGATCCATACTGCTCTGAATTCCCCTGGTCAGTTTGACAGTTTTATTGGTTCCTGGAGAGGGGATGTGTCTCTGTTAAGTGTGTGTTGTTTGGTTCTTAGGGAGTGAGTGAGTATGATATGTGTAAGCGTGTGTATATTGCTGTGGGTGTGTGTTATCATTTGGCTCATTAGGAAGTGAATGAGTATGATGTGTGTAAGTGTGTATGCTCGTATGGGTGTGTGTATAAGTGTGAGGCCTCAACACCTCCGTAAGCATGTCTGTCTTGTGTGCGTGAGAAATGTGGGGAGGTTTTGATTTGTAGGGTTATATGTTAATACTATCTATATTGTTAAATTTATAGTTTAGCCCGGCTGGATAGTGTGTTTTTAAACGTTGTATCACTTATTTTCATGGAACTCTAAAATCTTTCTAATGTTATCTGCTCTGAACTTTTCTATTCTCTCAATTATAGTGAATTTGGCATGGGTTTTGAAATCGTGTTTTTCTAGGCGGAAATGTTCTACAGGTAATAATTTTTCATGGAGAGTCGACTTAATTCGATTGCGATAATTATTAATTCTGTAGTGAAAGGGCCATTCAGATTTTCCTACATATTGTTTCTGGCATAGCGTGCATTCTAGGAGGTAAATTATGTTATGACTTCTACAGTTAGAATCGTGGGAGATTTTGAAAGCAGATTTAGTGACCGAGCTAGTAAATGAATTCGTGTGTTTAATGTGGTTGCAGCATAAACTTCTTTTGTTGTTACATGGTTGGGAAAATCCTGTTCTTTTTGTTGTTAGTTTATTACGGATTACCTTGTCCCCTGAAATGTGGTTACTACCTACGATTGCTTTTAGGTTCTTAGGTCTACGATATGTTAGAAGGCCGGGTTCCTTAAAAAATTTTTAGGTTTATATATATATATATATATATATATATATATATATATTCGATAAATCTTAAAGAAAAAATGAGTTCACCGACATTTTCTTCATTAAGGTTACTTGAATAATCAGGCTGGTAGGCAAAAAATTGTTTAAAATAAATGGAACGTCTTCTCAAATTTGGGTATCCGCTAAAAATAAGGTTTCAAGTGATAAAAATATGTCGGATTAATAAATAAAAATCAATTTATTTGCTGATACCTCCTGACGATTATACAAATGTTTTTTATTTGAAACTCAGGAGTTGTAGCGCTGAATATAACATCAGTCAGCTAAGTGACAAATTTTATATTTGTATATAGAATTGATACAAATAAGATATATATATATATATATATATATATATATATATATATATATATATGTTTATCGCTTAACTGATTGAAGTTACCTTCAGCATCCCGATTTCAAAGTTTCTTAGTCGAACCTGTACGTCCACTGATCAGGGGGTATCAGCAATTAAATTTTTACACACAAGCATGCACACACACACACACACACATATATATATATATATGTATATAGATACATATATATGTTATATTTTATATGTGCAGTACTTAGTGGAAAGTGCTCAATATAGATAGAGCTAACATATTCAGTTATATGGATATGAGTCTGTGACCTTAGGTTTCAGACAATCATCACTATAATGCACTCGTCCTTACCCCAAAATGAAAATAATTTATAACTCAACATCTTTGTCTGTCTGTCTCTCTGTATATATATATATATATATATATATATATATATATATATATATATATATATATATAACTTGTATGTATATGAGTTTGTGAACTTGTGTTTCACGCTTTTGCGATCATCAGACAAACTGTTTTATTTTTTAAATGTCATTACAAACAAATACAGAAGAAAACCTTCCCTCCCCCACCAAACTTAACCAAACACAAACAAAGCATAAATAGTTCCAATTTTAAAAATAAACCAGTTTGTCTGATGATCGCAAAAGCGTGAAACCCAAGTTCACAAACTCATATCCATACAACTGAATATATATATATATATATATATATATATATATATATATATATATGTATGTATGTATACGTAGTGTACCAGGTCTCTGTATTCGGCCCTTCAAAAAGTGTGGTTGGTTCTGCACAAAGCCTTCACCACTATAATCAAATAATAAGTGCTGGTGTTTGGCTGTTGGTTCTTAGTTACTGAGCTGTTTGACCCTCATACGTCGAATACGACGGGAGAGTGCATCATATATATATATATATATATATATATATATATATATATATATATATATATATATGAAAAATATATAGAAAATAGGAAAGAACGCGTTAGGTAAATAATCCAAAGTTCTTTAGTATTTTGTTATTATTTTTAAAAAATAGTGCTCGATACAAAAGTAGAGCATATATATAT